CCCAGAAGGAGGGGGCTGTTTTTGATGAGATCTTACTTAGTTTTCGAGATATTGATACTTTAAATTTTGGGTCATGGAGAATATAATAAGGAGGCCGAGCTCAGGGATAGGATTTTGGTACTAAAGTAGAGTTGGTGGATAGTTCTCCTAAATTCTACGGGCAGCGCTGATGTCAAGAAGCGTCAGAAAAATTGAAACAAGTGGGAGAATAGAAAAAGAGAGAGGGATAAGAAAATTACAGTGGAAGATCCGCCCACATTATAGTCGGACTGAGAAGAGAGTTCCTTAGATGCTCTTCATGTGTTCTTGTACGCTTGCGCAGTAGTAAAAAACATGGTAGAAGGGGTAGAAAATCAGTGGTGGGGAGCCCGAAAGCATTGAAGCAACTGAAGAACTCTTTTCTTAGTTCGACTATAGTTGAGGCCAGACAGCCTAGAGAAGAAGGTGCAGAGAACATGATTTTTGTAGCTTTTAAAATCTGTAACTTTTCTCAACATCAATATTAAGGAATAAAAATTGGCAGACTAATAGAGAACAGTCTGATCTATGATCCTGTCTGATGAAAATGATTGAAAACCGTGAATCGACCTCGCTACAGATTTTAGAAGGTGAAAAAGCATGGTTTCTGTACCTTCTTCTCTAAAATTGATGCTCTCATAATTGCCTGCGAGGTCGATTCACGGTTTTTAATTATTTTAGTTGGGCAGGATTATAGATCAGACTGTTCCCTATTAGTCTGCCAATTTTTATTCCTACAGTTCTTCAATAGACGATTATTGTTAATTAAATTGATGAGTTGGGAATTTTTTTAAAAGAGCGTCTGCTTCAAAAGTACAGCAAGACGGAATGGCTGGACGCTAAAAGGTCAAAGCAGCGCTCGCTGTCTGTCCCTTCCAATATTCAATATCGTCATTAAAATTCCATTTTTTTTATTGATGTTCGCAATCGTCAATTTTTTGTTTTTCTTAAGGCTGGGCTGTAGACAGATTTCCCCCTAGAAAGTTCCTAGCAAATTTTTCTCTACAAATGACGGCGTCAAAAATGGATGAATTTAGTTAATTTAAGACTTAATCGAAAGCTTATTTTATTCTTCACGTCGGAAAACAACAATATAATAACATTAATTACTTCATCATAATTAAAAATGAAGATAAAGATATGCACTCATTTTTCACTAGATTTTAGAGGTGTCATGGCGGATACCGCTGTCATCAGCCGTCAACGAGAAAATGATTTATTTCACAATAACCACTGTACCTATACTGTAAATCGTTGTTTTCCGATGTCCATACTATTGTTCAGGATATTTAAAAAAATATTTTATAACAAAAAAACGAATAAATAAAACACAATTTCGCGAGAAAAATTTCAGGTGATCATTCACAGAATCGTATTTTTTCCATTCTCGACAGGTGGCGTAGCAATGGTCTCTGAAAGGCATGGAATGATTATTGATTTTTACGATAGTGCGTATCAAAATTACTCAGAGCCCTAAGACAAGTGACAAAGAGCGTTATATCTTCTGTCGCAGTCTTATTCATTCCATCTTTCTGCGCATGTATTGCACAAAAAAAAGTATGAGTAGAAGTAAGAAAGGCTCATGTTCGTAGAAAGAGAGAGGCATACGACAATCGGCAGCGAGTTCTGGCACTTCGCTGGCAAGCTCTATCCCCTCCCTTCGTACCTACCAAGCGAGTAGCTTATAACTTATAAATCTGAAAACTCGAAGAGTTAATGTATTAGCTCTGCAGACAGAGCACTAGATTTTTAATTTGCCGAGCCGGATTCAAACCCCGCCGCAGCCAATTTTTTTTTTCTCTCTTTTTTTTTAATGATATACAAGCGTTATTTTAGCATGCCAAAATTAGTTCTAAATAATAATTTTTTTTATTAATTACTCTTCCAATTTATAGCGGAAGAGTAAGAAAGTTATTAAAAAGTTTGAAAAAACTTGTTTTTATGTCGCTACAAAAGAGGCAACAGTTAATTTTAATAATTAGCGAATCGCTAATTTTGACATATCTCCACGTTTTAAGGTCCCCAGAGTTGAATACGATAGTTTTTACGTGGACGTCTGTGTGTGTGTATGTACGTATGTGCGTACGTGCGTATGTGCGTATGTTCGTATGTGCGTTCGGAATTATTTTTCGCCTCGATTATCTCGAGAACAAAAAATGATATCGACGTGGGACCAACTGCATTCGACGCGTAATTACGTAACTTAGAACTAATTAGATTTTCAGCAAAATCGGTCCAGCCATTTTTTATGCAGAATCGAAAAACTGAAAAAATAGTGAACTACCTAAATTCTGCAATTTATAAATTATACCATTTTTTAGACGGAATTTCGAGATCTTTTAAAAAATATGAATATCAAATGTTTAGAATAATTGTACAGAAATATGATGACAGTATTTCAAAGAGAAAAAGTTTTAAAAAAACGAAATCAGCAATAAAGAAATTTTAAACTTGTGTTGGGATGGAGAAAAAAGCGTTGAGGATAATAAAATAGTCAATGATTATTGTTAATAATAAGAACTTGTGTTCATAACGATCGAACATTGTTAATAACAAATGATTATCGATCATAATAATATTTGAATAAAAAATTTTTTAATTGTTATAAACAATAAAAATAGGGATCTATGCAATATATTTGAATTCTTTTCACGCGTAATTTTTTCTTTTGCTGGAAAAAAGTTACCAACCGTACGACATGAATGGGAACTCATTCTTTTTGTTTATAACAATTGAATCTGTTATAAACAATGAAAATAGAGATCTATGCAATATATTTGGATTCTTCTAACGCGTAATTTTTTATTTTTCTAAAAAAAAGTTAATGATAAATGAATTCGAAAGCCTATTCTAGAATGAATCGAAAGTTTTTACGTAGACGTCTGTGTGTGTGTATGTACGTATGTGCGTATGTGCGTATGTGCGTACGTACGTTCGGAATTATTTTTCGCCTCGATTATCTCGAGAACAAAAAATGATATCGATGTGGGACCAATTGCATTCGACGCGTAATTCCGTAACTTAGAACTGAAAATGTTTCCGGGAAAATCGGTAAAGCCATTTTTTTGGCAGAATCAAAAAACTGGAAAAAAAGGAAATTACTTGAATTTTGCAATTTATAAATAATACCATTTTTTAGACAAAATTTTAAGATCATTGCAGAAATATGAATTTGTTGATTAATAAATGCTCACACACTCGGCATTCTCGTTATAAACTGAATCATACACAATTTTTTATCAATTAAATTAAATGTTACCGCGCCTGTAGTAATACATTGAGTGCTTATGCGCATGCGCTAGTGGTGGGGCAGTCGGGCTTACGTCTGAATGGGTGCCATAGAGTGTCCCGAATGCCAGAAATGTCTACGGCATCATTGTTAACAAAAATGAAATCCCCTAGCGTTTAAAATATACACTAACTATTATGAAAGATTTTTCTTCTACACTCTACATTCGATAAAAAGTATGAAAGTAAAAAATTTCATTTTGTCCAATTGTTACGATAAATAATTGATTGTAATTTGATAAATTAAAAAAAATATATTTTGAATAAATTAGTTATAAATTAATTTTTTCAATGAAAATGATTCATTTTGTCTACATGGCATACACTAGCGCTCCTTTCAACATCTACTGCCGGTAAACTAGATTTCGTAAGGTAAGTCAAATACCAACATAAAAAAACTACAAATTATTTTAAACATATTACATAGCAATTTTCTATTTTATTACTTAAATAATTACAAAAATAAATTTAAGACGTTTGGTTGAATTTTAAAAAGAAGAAAACATCTTAAAAATCTAGAAAATATTATTAGAATTACATATTTTTATTTTTTAATCCACTTAATACATGTTAATTATTAATTTTAACTAATTTGTAAGAATATTGTTTAAAGACATTACCATTTTTAATTAACAATAAAAATAGTTCTTTTAATGTCAAATTTCTAGAACGTTTTAAAATCAAAGAAATTTATAAGAACTTTAAGAAACTTAAAAGAAAAATTTACTAAACCTTTAAATTTTTTAAATAATAAACTGATAAGTGAGAAAAATTAAATTTTTGTCTTAAAAATTCCAAAAGTAGACCAACTAAAAAAACAAATTCTTTGGAGTACTTCTCCACAAATTGAGAATTTCAAAACATGTTTTATAATTCTCATGTTCAAAATGAAAAAAAAAACACTTTTTATTTAGAAAAACAAATTATAGAATTAATTAAGTCGATCAATGTGTTGTGGAACAGCTCTACAGATAGGACACACTAATGCTTGCTCATCTAGTTCTGCCAAAGCCTCCAGTATCTCCTGTTTTCTGATCCTTATTATTTTTAATCAACAATAAAAATAGTATTTTCGATATTTAATTCCTGGAACACCTCCAAATTAGAGAAATCATTTAAACTTTGAGCTGTATATTAAAAAAGAATGATAAACATTTTTATTTTTTTTTCCTATTATTCATAGCACGATATTATACATTGAATTACCAATATCATTACCGTTATTCTGTGATATTATTTGCACGTTTGTAAGTCCATCACCGATTTGTTTTTTGGAGAATGATTTCAATTCATGACTTGCATAAGCCAGAAATTGTATCGAATTTATTATCTGTTTTTCATATAAGTTTCATAATTTTCTTAATTGATTATTAAAAATTATGTTCTCATCTCTCCTTGCTCGTTTAACATCATTACCTATTATTAAAGTCTGATATTCCAACAATATCGTTTGCGAATGATCTTTCATATGTTCTGAAAAGCATAAAATAATTTCAAATAGCATGTACTTGAATAATTTAATCATCAAAAGAAAAATTATACATAAATCCACTATTGTGACTTTTTTTTAGAAATTTTTACTCCATACCTGTAAAGGTCCATATCGATGGATGCTCTCCAAGGTTCTGTTGAAGAATCCTATTATATGATTCTGCATAATTGTTTGTTCTTATATCGATACCATATACACTGAATCGATCAGGCTGTATTCTATTGATCCACTGTCGTTCATAATATTTGATAAATTTTTCAAAAAGTTTTTTTATAGATTCTGGTATGTTATTAATTAACCACTGAAAAGTTTCTTCAATCTTATCAGCTGGTAATAATGCCAACGCAAAGAATTTTTTTGATAATATCCGTCCTATTTTCCATCGCTGGATGAGAGGTAATAACTGAAGTTTTTTCCACTTTTTCATTAGAGCCTATTTAATTAACAGAAATAAAATAAAATATATAGTTAACTCTCTTGGATTGAATTGGAAATTTTTTCAGTGTATATTGACCTGGCAATAGTGAAAAAAACAACGTTTATGCAACGTTCCAGGATATATTTCTTCAATCACTATTGAAAGAGCTGCTTCAAAATCCGATATAATAATATTTGGTACCAAATCAGGAACAAGAAGAGTAAAACATTTCAAAACTTGACGATATGCTGAACTACTTTTCTTTTCCATTAGACTCCAAAAAATAGGGATTGCCTGAAATACCAAAATTTGAATGTATTCCACATTTTTATATTAGAACACCTATTGTTTTTGAATTCAAAAGTAATAACACTGACAGTATTATTCACTAATGCTAAAATCGTAAAGAACTGAAGGGCTTGTGGTTTTTTTTGGCACAATTTTAAATGTAGCATCCATAAAAAGCTGCGGTGTTTTAATTATTTGTAATAACGTCCTGTTACCAAAAATCGTCACATAAGATTTGTCTTCAGATTCTGAAGTTGACACGTGCATCAGACTTGTTTTATCATAGTTTTTTCTAAGAAATATCCAGCGAGGATCATCTAAAATCTTTTGATATTGTTGGAGATTCTGTGGTATTGGAGGTTGAATTTGAGTTCGCCAACGACGCATTCTGGGTTCCATAATTTTCCATGTTTTTATAGTAGCTGCTTCAGGATGTCTAAAAATATATAATTTCTGTGTAAATACATTTGTATATTAAAATGAAAATTTAATGTGTACATATACATCGGAAAATTTATACTCACAGCAAACTAATTTCATTGTAAACAGACTTGACAGATTTCAACCTGTTGTTTATGATTGCAGTATATAATGCCTTCTTAAATGCATATGTAGCATCAACTGATTTAACCTGGATATGATTATGGTCAGTTAACATAAAAAACTGACCATTTACAATCTTCCCTCTACCCGGACAATGTGAATTTGTTTTTTCTCTGCAGACAAAGTATCTGCAATTCATTAATTTTGAATTCATTTAAATTGAAAAGAATAAAATCATTTTTAAAAAGAAGTAAGAAAAATATATTATCACTTACTTTGTTGATCCAACTCCTTTCGAATAAACATAGCAATAGCCATTGAATATTTTGTTTTCCAACTTCTCACAAATAGAAATTTTTGGTCCATGAGCAAATGATGTAATTTTCGGCATATCACTTAATGAAATAGAAGCACATTGATTATTTACACAAGCTATCACGTAAAAACCTCCACGATGTTTTACAAGCACTGTATACGCACTGTATAATAAATTCTATATAATTGTTTCTCTCGCTAATAAATTGGTAACAGATCAAAATCAAACGGCAGTTAGCAAGGTCACGTGGCGTTAATTCCTAAAACCAAGAAAGATAGCTTCTCATTGGTCAGTAGAAAGGAGGTGGACCTAAAAATTTCACGATATAGATGACATACAGTGTACACCATAAATTAGATTTCTGAACCGTCTTTCTTTTCGATCTATCCATTGTGTTGATCAGTATACTTAGCCTACAACATATCAGCAGTGAATAGATATTTTTGAAACGTATTGTACACATTCAACAATAAGCGTTTCAAACTATCGTTCGTCAGTTGTTTTTCTGAAAAGTGTGTTCGGTAGATCGGCATTATTACGGCAAATTGGTGGACGCGATACAAGAAAAAGTAAATAATCAATAAGAAAAATAAGTTTCATAATCATTTTTTCATTATTTTTAAAATGTTATCACGGCGTGAAATCCCTATTAGAAAAATTCACAATGGATATTCATACGTAAGATATCGACAAACAGATAATGCTATGTAAGTATTTCACAATTATTTATTATCTATTAATTTTGTATGTTTGCTTTCATTTCCGTTTTGACTGTATGGGAAACTAGCTAATTCTTCTTAATATTTTTTGTCTTTTTAAAAAAAATGTAGGGTAAACACATGAAAAAATGGGCAATTAAGTCCAGGAGATGGACACAAAATTATTATAAATAGATAAAAAAAATGTTTACGTTAAGCATTTCACAGTTTTCAATTAATAAGATCTTCGTTAAAGGATAAAAAATACATTGAAACATTAAAATGTTTAAAAAATGTGTCCATCTTCAGGATGATGTCCATTTATCGGTCTATTTACTCTATTTTACTCTTTGATAATAATCTCATATTATTTCAGATTTTGGCGATGTAGTCTCTATCAAAGAGAGAATTGTCGAGGCCAGTGCAAAGATATAAACAATCATTGTATTCTTATAAAAGAACACAATCATCCTCAGCAAAGCAATTTGGAATTAATCTCGAACTTTCGTCAACAATTACATCAAGCTTGCGTTAGAAGACGAACCAACATCCGAAATATTTACAATGAAATCGCCAGTCTGTAAGTTTTTCTAAAATATTTTTAATCAAAATAACGTTAAAGTTTTAACATGAAATATTCCCGGTATTCCACGATCTCTATAAACGAGTGAGTGGAACATAGGTTGAGCACCTACCGGGCGCGTCTCCAGGTGGCGGATAGGAGCATTGTCCGGGTAGTACCGAGTGGAGGCCTCGGGAGCCGCGAGGCGTACCGAGTGCGAACACGAGGGAAGCCGCTGGCAAGTGCAGCTTGGGTGTGTACACACTTTAAGAGGCACCGTGGACCAACTCCCCAAGTCAAGGTGTAAGCCATCGTGCTGAAGACTGAATGGCACTGGGACACTGTGTCGCAAACGATGCCCTTGGGGTACCAGGCGACCCCCCATTGTAGCTAGCCTTACCTGTGCAAGAGGCTCTGCACAGGTGGACCTTTATTTCCTCATCACTCGTGGGACTCGAATGGATGACTTAGACAACATTCGGAGTAGTGGGGGTCCTATCTCTTCTGACGAAGAAATAGGACTTGGAAAAGCCGAGGCGGGACGAACCAGCGAGGACGGCGAGGTGCAAACCGAGCTGCCTTGTAAGGAACGACCTGCTACCGGCAAGGAGGATCAGGGGAAGAAATTCGATAAACCTGATCCACCGTCACGCCCCAATAAGAAAAAGCTTTGCGGGGCAGCGAGGAAGAGGTTGAGGAAGGCTAAGCTGCTGGAACTGGAGAAATCCGGGGCTAGCACAGCCGGAGCGAAGGCTGAGCCAAGTCAGAGGAAACCGGGGGCCCCTGTGGTAACCGGCGGAATCTCTGGAGGCAAGGCAACTTCCTGTGGTACCAGGACTGACCCTAAGGTCGAGACCGGGGCCACTAGCTCCACCAAGTCGGGGTCTTCCACCGAAGCCGTGGGTAACACCAAAAGGCAGAGGTCGGAGGATTGCACGACGCAAAATGTCGAGCGAAGAAGGCTCGCGTAGCACCTGGGCCTAGCAGCTTTGCTGAAGCGGCTGCGGGAGGCAAGAGGGTGGCCATCGCGCTGGACCTCTATCCTTCTGCGACCCTCAGCAAGCAGCAAGGGGAAGTAGTGCTGGCAGGACTTCTTCGGGCCCTGGACGATGCCATCAAAAGTGGCACGGTTCTGGGATTTGAGGGCCACAAACTCGACAGAGGGCTTCTGTGGATCAACTGTCCTGATGAACGGGCAGCCACATGGCTCAAGGAGACAGTCCCCTCCATAAAGGTCTTGGAAGGAGTAAACCTCGAGGTTCTCGAGAGGGAGAAAGTTCCAAGACTCTCCAGGGTCACCGCGACGTTTCCCGGGCCATCGGTGGATCCGGCGGTGATCTTGAAAAGACTCGAAGGCCAAAACGCCGGACTGCACACCAACCTCTGGCGGGTTTGGAGCACGAAGGCAACGCCAACATTGACTAGCTTAGTCATTGGTGTGGACGACGAGTCATTAAAGCTCTTGAAAGGGTTAGGAATGAGTCCTTACTGCGGCCTAGGCAGAGCTCGATTTTTCGAGGCGCCAAAGGCTGTGGAGGGGAGGCAGGCCGAACCCGGAAAGAGGAAATTACCGGTGGCAGGGACCTCCAAGGCGGTACCCCCTCCGAGAGGAAAGAGGAGGCGTGCGGAAACGCACGCAGCCTCTACCTCGAAGGAGAAGGGAGCACCAGGAGGGCCCACCAACCCCCCACCTCCGAGGGAGCCATCACAGGGGCTTGAGAAAGCGAACTGTGAAGAAGGCAAACCTCGGACCAGTGGACGGGCTACACCAACTCCTGGGGCACGGGGGAGACCCACGAAGAACCAGGAGTTGGCAAGGGTGGGGAGGGTCCTGTCTCAGATCAGGCTGACCGACATGGTAAAGCCTGGAGCAGAACCTACGGGTAACCCTCCTACGGGAGAGGGCGCAAGAAGGGACGGCGACATGGCTGGCCGCTTGAGGAGCCATAGACAGTGGACGAGCTTTCGAGCAGGGCATGCGGCGATCCTTGGCCCGGAGGACCCTACGGGACTCAGTGGCAAAAAGGTCGATCGCTGCCCCAGGAAGCTAGAATTCTCACCCGGATACGAAGTCATCTTCATGGACAGACGGACCTGGCTGGAGGAAGGCGAGGAATCGCTTACTCCCAAGGGGCCTGTCTGGTACGTGGATGGGGCGAAGTTTAAGGGGGGAGAGGCCGGAGCCGGAATCTGGTGCGGGGGACCACGGGTGGAGGAATCCTACACCCTGGGCCAGGACGCTTCCGTGTTCCAGGCAGAGGTGTACGCAATCCTGTTATGCGCTATGCATATCACCAAAAGAGATTGCACTGGGCAGCATATCTATATCTGCAGTGACAGCTATGCTGCCTTAACGGCTCTTTCGCAAGTGGCTACCTGTTCAGAACTCGTGGACCACTGCAGAAGGGTACTAAAACAAGCGGCATGCCGCAACGAACTGAAGCTGCTAAAGGTACCAAGTCACTGCGGTATACGCGGCAACACCGAAGCTGACAGGCTGGCCCGTATTGGCGCCAGCGGCGGAGGTGACAGGGGCCCAGTGGAGATAAACGCTCCCGGGGAACTTGTGAAGGCGCTGGGGGACAAGTGGCTGCACAAAAGATTCACCAGCTACTGGGCGGAGACCTCGGGGATGAGGCACACCAGAGCGTTCATCAGGAAACCCACAACTCAAGTGAGTAGGGACCTGATCGAACTGGATAAAAGAAGGCTAAGAGTGGCCGTGGGCACCGTCACAGGGCACTGGCTAACTCGACGCCATATGAAGATGCTGGGACGCGGAGAGGAATCCGCGTGTCGGTGGTGTGGTGAGGAAGAAGAGACGCCTCTCCACATGATAAGGGAATGCTCGGGGCTAAGGGAACCCAGGCAGCGCCTGTTAGGGAACCTTGGGACCGACGCACCCATTCTCGAGACGGTCGGGACGGACAGGCTTCTGCAGTTTTGCTACGAGGCCGGGCTGTACCAACCCACCTAAGACCGCCTTTACCATAAGTTTGGACCCAGTACAATGGCCCCGTGGCTAAGTGCAGGGGAGGCGGGGCAGACTAAAGGGGGGGGAAAAAAAAACATGAAATATTTATACTTATTTAGACTAATTAAGTATCATCAATAAAGCAGCAATTTAGCTAAAACGTTGAAATGGGAGTTTCACTATTTAATTAATTTGTTTTTTAATAACTTTAGAGTTGTTAGATTTATAAAAAAAATAAAGGATCAAATGGTAACGAAATCATTAAAACATCATTTTTTAAATTTTCAAAAAAACTTGTTCAAAGTTTTAGTTAACTGCTATCTTTAATTATTTTTTAACACAAATTTGATTTTTGATATGTTTTTAAGGAATCGAAAAGCATCAGCATTAGTACCATTCCATAAAATTCAATCGTCTATGACTCAATGGCGACAAGAGATAATTCTAGCTCAACCACCATCATTACTCACATTTCGCGCCATTGTGCAAAGACAGCGTTACAGTAAATTATTTATGCATAATAGAGGGAACATTATGGTAGAATTTTTAAGCTCGTTTCGATCATATCAACATAAAATTGCTGTTGTTTTCACTGATGCTGGCGTACTCCACAAACTACGCAATATCAGGACTAATCTCTATGTGGACATGACTCAAAAATTGATTCCTACGAATATGGATCTTTCCAAACTTGTTGCATGGACTATTTCATTCAGAAATCACGTAAGTTCTTACCAGCAATGGTTAATCTTCAAAGAAAGGTGATATATCTTATTTAAAATTAATGAATTTTTAATTTACAGAGCTTCCAAATAGGTTGGAATCTGATTAAAAAAAACCCATAATGTATCATACCAAGAAATTACTACAGATATTTCAGAAAAATTTTTCACAAATAATATAACCATTGATCGAGTATTTTATAATTTCGATAAAAAATTGTACAATGAATTGTCTACAAATTTTCCCGAGGCTCAAATTCGAGGACTATTTATTTCTTATTGTATGGTATGTATATCACTCTCAAATAATTCAATCTTTCTTAAAATGTAATAAACGTTTCTTTTTCGTTTATTCTTAGATTAACAATAATAAGGTTATCATTTTTATGTGCAGATATTACTGGATTATGCCAACAATATTCAAGGAATAAATGTAACAAATCCTCATCATTTAATTATATTGAAAAAGTTCATAGGCTTGAGCTTATTACCTGCAAATCAGATAAATCGTGTATTTATCGATTTGTACAGTTCTATACCTGAGGTCATACTGAATAATGGATTTCTAGATTTCGTGAAATACTATTATTCCAATTGGATCAGTTCTGTTGGAGTAAACAACATTTCTTTTTATCAAGAGATTGAGGCTTTCTCGAACATCGCCCATAAACATTGGAAGAAAATAACTGCGAATTGTAATGAATCACCTGATATTTGGAAGTTCTGTGGAATGATTGTTAAATGGATGCAATCAACTCATCGAGATCTTGATCGTACAGAAAGAGGAGAAAACAGATATATATCTGCACCATCTTTAACCTGTTGTCCTAAATCAACTGATTTAAGAGAATTATGGAGAAGACTTGATAACAATTTAATAGATACAAACACATTTTTAGCAGTTGCATCAAATTTGATCGATCCAATTGTACAAGATATATTATTCAATGGGTTAACACTTTATTCAGACTTCTCTTTAGTAAAATTAGTAGATTTAAATGAAAATCCTCCAGAGATATCTTATAATGAAAATAATGTGTTGAACGAAATATTATTAGAAAATCTCCCAAGACAAAATGAGATCAGACATGGTAAGATTTTTTATTACATTATAATAATAATTTTACAATAGTAAAAAATACAAGTCAGTTATGAGTGTTTTTCATGATTTCTCCAAATATATACTTTTTTCACAGGCTTAAACGCTTCATCATTGACTACACTACTATTTCTTGCTCAATACTGTCATTCTTCTTACTCCTTCAATACTTTGACGTTGCTTTTTCTTCTAAATCCTGGTATTTACTTTCTTTACAAATTTAGAAGGTTCTATATTAGTTTTCACTGATATTGGCATGACTTTTGATGACGAAAAGGATATATGTTTAAAGAAAATAATTTGGTTTTAATTCAATGAATATTTTTTCTTATAGAAAATCAAGAAAACAACGAATGCGTTGCAAGCTCATCGAACAGAATTGAATACATAATGCAACCTTGTGGACATAAAGTTTATTGTTGGAATTGCCTGGAGATACTGGAGGCTTTGGCAGAACTAGATGAGCAAGCATTAGTGTGTCCTATCTGTAGAGCTGTTCCACAACACATTGATCGACTTAATTAATTCTATAATTTGTTTTTCTAAATAAAAAGTGTTTTTTTTTTTTTCATTTTGAACATGAGAATTATAAAACATGTTTTGAAATTCTCAATTTGTGGAGAAGTACTCCAAAGAATTTGTTTTTTTAGTTGGTCTACTTTTGGAATTTTTAAGACAAAAATTTAATTTTTCTCACTTATCAGTTTATTATTTAAAAAATTTAAAGGTTTAGTAAATTTTTCTTTTAAGTTTCTTAAAGTTCTTATAAATTTCTTTGATTTTAAAACGTTCTAGAAATTTGACATTAAAAGAACTATTTTTATTGTTAATTAAAAATGGTAATGTCTTTAAACAATATTCTTACAAATTAGTTAAAATTAATAATTAACATGTATTAAGTGGATTAAAAAATAAAAATATGTAATTCTAATAATATTTTCTAGATTTTTAAGATGTTTTCTTCTTTTTAAAATTCAACCAAACGTCTTAAATTTATTTTTGTAATTATTTAAGTAATAAAATAGAAAATTGCTATGTAATATGTTTAAAATAATTTGTAGTTTTTTTATGTTGGTATTTGACTTACCTTACGAAATCTAGTTTACCGGCAGTAGATGTTGAAAGGAGCGCTAGTGTATGCCATGTAGACAAAATGAATCATTTTCATTGAAAAAATTAATTTATAACTAATTTATTCAAAATATATTTTTTTTAATTTATCAAATTACAATCAATTATTTATCGTAACAATTGGACAAAATGAAATTTTTTACTTTCATACTTTTTATCGAATGTAGAGTGTAGAAGAAAAATCTTTCATAATAGTTAGTGTATATTTTAAACGCTAGGGGATTTCATTTTTGTTAACAATGATGCCGTAGACATTTCTGGCATTCGGGACACTCTATGGCACCCGTCTGAATTCCATATATACTATATACTATTCCATATACTATAGTACCTCTTTGTCCAGTTCGACTATAACCAAAAAAGACACTTATTCCCACTCATGTAAATGTTGTGTTAACAAGGCAAAGTAGGAACAGTCTCGTTTGGTATCTTTTTGGTTAGTTCAATTTTATTAGCTTAATACATAGTTAGATCCAATCTTTAATTTTTTTTTTCATTGTAATAAATTTTTTAACAATTCTTTTTGTATTCCAAATTCTAGATATTCAATATATTTAAAAAAATAAAAATTATAATACACACGTATGCAAAAATGGCTTTGTGTTATTCAAGGTAAAATGTCATTATTTATATTTATACATGATTCTACATAATAATTTAAAAAAAATATTCATTTGCGTTTTTCAGATTATTATGGCAAAGAAATATAAAATTTTTAGGACATAAAAACTTCTTAAATTTATGGTAAGATTCTTGTATTACATAATGTTATATCCATATTTTATTGATAGAGAATTTTATAAAAAGGTATTTTCTACTACTTCAAATATTATTATATTTCATTAATAATAGCCATGTAGTATTTTTTTTATCGGCTTATTTTAAATCATATAACAAGATATTTTTTTATTAAAATTATTTTTAAAAAAACTGTATTAGTTAACAATGTTTTGATTCGTTTAATTTAAATTGAACATAAGAACACTTCATTATAAAATTCATAATAAAATTGAAAATCGGTTATTCAATCAATTATAATTCACTCAAGTAGAATTTAATATTTATGTACAATAAGTTTAGAACATTTATTTGAGTAAATAGAATGATAAATAAACTTATTAAAAGTAATGTAACAATTTTTAATTGTTCGTATTAATGACTTTTATTGACAGTGCTCCAAGAATTTCTTCAACTCTACTACGAGGAGTTACAACACCAGTATGTGAAACTCATGCAGAAAAAAATGAAAGATTAAAACGGCCAATGTCACCACATTTGACCATTTATAAACCTCAGTTAACTAGTGTGCTTTCTATTACCCATCGAGGTACTGGAATGGCTTTAGCATTTTATGCCATTGGAGCTGGATTAAGTAAGAATAACAATTTTTTCTTATTTAATTTGAAAATACATTGTGATAAAATCAAATAATTTTCAGCTGAACTTTTTGTTCCGGGAGGAGTAAATCTTTTTATTGATTCATTTCATGCACTTTGCTTGCCCGTACCCATAGTATTTTTAACAAAATTTGCTATCGCATGGCCAGCGATGTATCATTTTTTTAATGGAATTAGACATTTGGTAAGTTATGATGATCTATTTAGAATATTTTAATCGGTTAAATTACATATTAATATTAATATAAATTACAATATAACAGGCTTGGGACATAGGTATATTTTTATCTATGAACCATGTATATAAAACAGGATGGACGATGTTAGGAACTTCAGTTGTCACAGCACTAATAATATCAGCAATATTTTAAATGATTCATTATCATTATAAATTAGATAATACTATCATTAATTAAATTTATTTATAGAAAATAGAAATTACTCAAGATTGTTATGAATATGGAAATACAAATAAATAGCACAATTAATATTAAATTTTTATTGATAATACCAAAAATTCTTTTATATTTACTTATTCAAAATCATCCATAGTCATATTCATGAATTTTTCATAAATGGCCATAAATTTTGCGACAAATGCTTCAAGATGAAATATTGCTTTCGAACCACGACACATTCTGTACTCGTATTCAGCAGCAATTGAAACTATTTCAGACTTTAGTTGTAAATCACAATTTCTTATACATTCCTGAAGAAGTCCTTTAAATATTAAATCACATGGAATAGCATGAGTTAATAACTCATACAGCCTACTCCGAATGTCTAAAAGTTTTTTTGGAGTTTGCTCTGCCACCATTAATGCAGCAGTTTTAGTGATAAATACTTGCCAGTCCGGTTGGGTTATTTGTTGATCTACAGTAAATGGATATCTAGGAAATAAAAAAATTCAAATTAATAATAAAATATTTTAGTAATTGATTTTTTAAGCTGATTAATTGATCATGTAAAAATGACATATAAAATAATGAGAATGAACTTGAATTTATCATGAAGATAAAGATAAAAAAAATTATTTGATTTTTGATAGATCAAATTTTAGATTACAATCTAATAATTATTAAAAATTATTATGTGGAGTCCAACTTACGATTCGACTTTACATGTTTCAAACATTAGTATAGCTCGTCGTAAATTCCGTCCACTGGCTTCTGCTATTTTTTGTGCAAATTCATTTGGTAAATTCAAATTTTCTTTTTTTGCTATAGAAATAAGTATTGATTTTGTTTCATCGATTGAAGGTGCGGGTACACGGATTTCTAGACAACGTGATCTAATTGCTGGTAACACTCTAGATATTGAATTAGCACATAAAATTAATCGGCAAGTTGTTATATATTTTTCCATAGTTCGTCGGAGCGCATGTTGAGCATCTTTCGTTAAGTGATCGACATTTGTCAAAAGAATAACTAAAATAAAATTGTATTGTAGGATTTGATAGTATAATTTTATTATGCTGGATGATAATAAAAAAACGAAATTTATTCTAAAAAATATTATAATTTCTAAAATATTGATTTGATTTATATTAATCAATATATTACATTACCTTTGAAATCGCGTTGACCATTAATGTCAATTTGATGGGTCTGAGCTGTGGTTTTTACCAAGTCCATAATAACACTTCTATCGTAAATTCCAACATCACTAGGATTTATTTCAATGTGATAATTACTACTAGTTGTCATTAATTCAAGTTTTTTCTTTGATGGCGTCTAAAAATATATTTTATTAGATTAGATACATAAAAGTATCCTTAAATATAGTAAATATCGATAAATGTGCTACCTCAAATTGCATCGATTCCATCCGAAGTCTTTCAACGCCAGGACCATAAAGTTCGCGTATAATAGCCATGACTCGAGTTTTCTTTCCAGCACCAGGTGGTCCATGAACTAGCAAATGAGGAAAATCACTTTTTTGGATCTGTTATGAATGTAAATTTAATAAACAAATAAATATTTATTCAACCTTTAATCATATATTTCATTTACACCGGTGACAGTCATTTGAAAAAAACTAAACCAGTTTATAATTATTAAATTGCAATTAATAATGTTGATGAAAATATCGATTACCATATTTTTTAACTGTTCTGCTTGATTAACATGATAGTCCAATTTTCCTAGAGATATCGGACGGTATTTATCAACCCATAAACTCATTTTCAAAAAATGAAATAAATGAAAAATATATTAGTAAATAAAAGAAAGTAATACTTAATGTTAGTACAGAACTTAAAAATCTACTTTTGAAATATATACATCATTTAACACAAGAGATTAATAAAATTAAAGATAAATTGTAAGAGGTTCAGTATCAAAAAAATATTGTCTATTCCACATAACCATTTAAGATTTTGTAGTATGTTTGGATGGAGCAACTTTACGTCTCCCTCCAATTTTGTAATTTGTCGATGATAATGAGTATGCGCATTGATGGTTTCACAAAGCACTCAAAAAAAAAATCTAAATGATGTTACGGCACTGAAAAGCCTTTGCTAATAGGTTCATTCATATTTTTACCAATATAAAAGTGAAAACGAGGGGTGCCATAGGGTAGTAGGAAAGAGCAGAAGGCCGACCATATTAAAAGTTTCAAAAATAAAAATCCCTTCATAGTATCAAGTCCACTGTATATTTATTATTATTATAATTAAAACTGTAATTAAAAAGGAAAATTGATAAAAATAACTAAACTCGTTTTAATTACATAATAAATAATAATTAAATAATTTAATATACAATTATAAAACTACCAAAAATTATTTATAACTTTTACAAAAGAGCTCAATCAAAATTGTAGAACAATAACAATATCCCCAAGCGACATTTGGCCCACACATTATAGTAACTGCATTTAAATTGAAAAATTACCGACGGTTGATATTAAAAATTGATTGTTGGTAAAGTAAATTACCAGCTGAAGTCAGAGAGGCGACTGATTCCCCCTATCTAAATACATGGGATCGGGATATTTCTAATTTCTTTGCCAATTTACTATTATTTCTATCAAATTAGGTACCAAAATACAGATGAATTAATGCCGGACTGACGTAAACAACAATTTTTTGTATGTAGTGAATATTTTTATTTAAAAAATTAGAAAGAATAATGAACAAATTATGAATTGACTTGCCGCGCTTGAATTCCAAGATGGCGGCCAAATCATTTAGATGAAAAATCACTAATTATTTTATTTTTATACGTTTTTCGCCCAAAATTCGTATTTGCGTCAGTCCTTGCTACCTATCTAAATGTCAAAAAAATCAATTCATAGTATAAAATTGAATAATTTAGAAATAATTAGAAATATTGTATTCCAGATGATATTCTCCGGAAAATTAGTTTGAAAAAATTCCGATAGGTGACAGCATTATGCTCGCAGATGACCTCAGTCATCCATATTGAAAAAATGCGCAATCCGTATCCAGAACTGATGGTGCCCTGCATTTTAGCGAGTAATTTGTATCTGTGTATGTATAATACATGTTGTGATGTAAATGTAGTGTGTCACACTACATGCCCTACACTTTGATGACTATTGCAGTATTATAAATGAGTATGATGATACCCATTGAACATTAATTAATGGAATACCTGAAAATAACTTAAAATACACATATTCATCCATTATTATTATTTCTACTAAGTATGAATTTCAACAAGCGAGCTCAATTCCAAGTCTACGGATCGAAGCATGTAGTTTAAGATGAATAAACATGGAATTTTTATTGGAAATATGCTGGCTTTGTGGTTAAAGCACCATGCTTCTATTTTACCGAGCAGGGTTCAATCCCGATCTCGACCAATTTTTTTCTTTTTTTTTTAGTAGAATTGAATATAATTATAATTTTAATAAGCCAAAATAAATTTTTTATAAGAATTTAAGTTTTTTTTTTTTATAATTCTTTTAATTAATGAACGCTGAGGGAGAAGACATTCGAACAGGGCCATAAACCCTTTTTTAGTACAGTTATATAAATGTAGTTTTTTTTCAAAAATAATTTAAAAATATTTAGCAGCAATTTAAACAATTTGCGGAGAGTTCCGGCACTTCACCGGCAAGCTCTACCCCCACTCTTTGTGCCCAAGCCTACAGCTCATAATTTACAAGCATAAATAATAGAATTGTTATCCTGATAGCTCTGTGGTCAGAGTATTGGACTTCTATTTTGCCAGATAGGGTTCGATCCTAGTCATGGCAAATTTTTTTTTCCTTTTTTTCGTTTAAGTAACTTTATATATTTATATATTTTATTAAAATATTCTTCCAATTAATTACGAAAAAAAACTTGTTTTTCTGAAAATAAGCTGAGGGTGAGGAACGAGCTACTATGAATTCTCTTTTTTAGAAAATGTTGTCTCTAAAAAACTATAGGAATTAATTTTGAACTAATATAAACAACCAATTATTGCATTTACGTAAAATCTTAATGAAAAAAAATTGGCTCTCACTGGGATCGAACCCTAATCGGTAAAATGAAAGCCTGGTGTTCTAACCACACAGCTAACACATTATCTCTGACATTATGCTTATGTTTATAAGTTATATAATGCAGGCTTGAGTATGAAAGGTGGGGATAGAGCTTGCCAGCGAAGTGCCGGAACTCCCCGCGGACTGTTTCAACTACTTCTGAATATTTTCAAATTGTTTAAAAAAAAGCTACGCTCATAGAACTGTATTTAAAAAAATGTTTATAACCCTTTTTAAAGGTTTTCCGACTCGGCGTCCAATAATTAAATGAATAAATTGAAGAAAAAAAAATCAAATCGTTAGTAAGGGATTAGACTGGGATCGAACCCTGGCCGGCAAAATAGAATTCCAGCGCTCTGACCGCAGAGCTAACGTGTTTATAATCTAGCTCCAGTTCCATTTGTATTGTTGTCGTGAGTGGACGTCTCTGTTCAACCTGCGATACTGTGAAAGACTTTTCTCCAATTTTGAGGACCCTATTGTGGCCACAACCAGGGATTATCATCCAATACTGTTGCTGAAGCGTTATCAAAAGAAATCTGGGGCGAACCAACACCCGGACGACCCGTTTAGACCACCGACAGCGTGGGTTTTTCCCAATGAACCTAACATCAAGTTGAAGATGGATGCAACTACGAAAAGAAAAGCTGAGGCCCTTGGACAGGGCGATAAAAATAAAAATAAAAAATTAATCAAGAAGTCTATGAAAGATTTAGGCATTCTCAACTCTGCAAATGTTGAGAAAGTCTTTAATGAAAAAATAAAGAAACAACACCCTAACCTAAAAAATGCTAGAATACATAAAGCGGCGTCGCTAGAGGAGATGGATTTCTCGCATGAAGAGATCGACACGCCATCTGTGGGCGTTTTTTCACAGCCTAAACAAACCTCAAGACCTACCTCGCCAGTCGATAGGGCAGGTATCACGACCAAGAACCGTTTCAGCCAGCTCTCAAGCGCGAATACTCAAGATGCAGCTCAGCCAAGCACCTCACAGATGAATCCACCGCAACGGGATTCCACAGCACAGTCAATTAAACCAAAGCCAACCAAACCTCCACCTATATTTATCTATAATACAAATATCAAAGAAACTCTTACCTATTGTAAGACCAAAGCTATAGCTCTGAATACGATTAGAGTGAAACAAACAGAAACAGTAGTTAGTCTATCAGCCACTAACAAACAGGTATATGAAAAGTTGCTAGAGGCTTTGAAGGAAGATAATAAACCGTTCTATACATATACCCCCAAAGAGAACAAAACTAAAACACTAGTTTTGAAGGGAGTGTTTGGAGGATTTGATGAGAAAGATGTAGCGGAGGAAATCAGGAGTCTAAACATTGAAGATGTACAGGTCATTAAGGTGTCCAAAATCACCTTTAACAAAGATAGACCCGATTTGGTGCAATTCCTAGTACAAATTTCCAAAGATAGTAACCAGGTTAGTCTAACAAAAGTTAAGTTATTTTTGTCCCAAAGGGTTAGATGGGAGAAGCTGCGAAAAAAGCAAGCGTTCCAATGCAAAAACTGCCAACGGGTAGGTCATGCCAGCTCGAATTGCCATTTAAAATTCAGGTGTATGAAATGCGCTGAGTCTCATAAGCCAGGCGAGTGCACAATCAAAGAAGGAGCACAACGTAGTGAGCTAAAGTGCGCAAACTGCGGTGAGACAGGCCACCCGGCCAATTACAAGGGCTGCAGATACTTAAAAACTGCTGAGGAGATGCGCAAAAATGCCTTAAGAGCTAAAATAGATATCAAGAAAAAGAGAGAAGCGCACTACAACAACTTCATCAGACCAAATGTGTCCTTCGCAAACGTGAGCCAAAATGCTGGCATTAGAGCACAATCAACAACAACATGTAGGGAGTCAAACCCACTGAATCTTAATACGCAAAACAACACAATATTTGACCAACTAAATGGTACAGATAATGTTAACATGTTCAATCAATTCGAATCCCTATTCAATCAGTTCAAAGACACTATGTTGACAGCTATGAACACGCAGCTACAGGCTCTGTCACAAAGGATTGCTGAAAACTCCTTAAACATAGACCATATCCTCTCAATAGTCCATTCCAACAATGAATAATACAACTAATACGTTAGATACGACTGATACGATCCAGCAAATGGATAATTCAACCATTAAACTCATCAATTTATGTGCAATAAATGTCAACTCACTTTGTGTTCTAAAAAAGAGGCATGATCTCCAAGATTTTATTAATATTAACAAGATAGATATAGCAATGATTTCTGAAACTAAATTAAATAAGAATCATAAAAGAATAACCTTCCAGCATCACAACTTCGTACGAACAGATAGAAGAGCACCTAAAAGAGGAGGTGGAACAGCCATTTTAATTCACAAAAGGCTGCACTACGAACTTATTTCATTCCCAAACTCACATAAGAATAACACAATCGAATACACAGCAATCAAAATTAAAACTAATAAAGCAGTTTTGCTGGTCCTCAGTATTTATGCAGCGCAAAAGACCACGGACACTTTCATCGAGGATCTCGATAAGTTGTTCGACGATCTCAACCTAAATAGCAACAACATCTTCTTCATTATTGCTGGGGATTTAAACGCTCGCCACACTGCATGGGGAGACACGAGGATGAACACCAGAGGTGCTGCGTTCTATAATTGGACCAGGAATAGCAACTATGCTCTTAAGGTCGCACATTATAGCTCAATGTTCCCAACTTTCCCCAAGGCCAGTTCATACTTAGATCATTGTATTTGTGACAGCAGGCTAAGTCTCGTCGGATTAATCAACAATAAACTTGACACTATTCCTTATGACAGCGACCACAATGGCATTATCTTCTCCATAGATACACATTCAATTTTCCAGGGCATCATACGCCCCCCGCCTCCACCGATCAGATTTAATTACAGATGTACTAAATGGGATGACTTTACTGACCATCTATTATCAGCTAGAAATAGCAGCGACCAGATTCCAGCTGACAGAAACCTATCAATTGAGGAAATAGACAATCACATCGTAAGATTGGAAAAAATGATATCAGATTCGATTGAGGCAACAGTACCTAAAATCAATACTAATAAATACAACCCATATGTCAAATACGTCAATAATAGAGTCAAGAAACTGCATTCAATAAAATCTCAGTT